ACAGGAATAACTTTTCTCATAATATTTCAGTACTTTCTGTTCTATTCCAGCTGGAGTCTGAAATACTGTTGCATGCAGAAATTTTAAATTATGTGAAAACAACATGATCCAAACTTATTTTTTATTTGTTTTCAGGACAAGTATTGTTGGTTCACATGTGGAATAAAAGCTCTTAATATCACTGGAATATGATTTAATCACATCAAAAACAGGGCAACATATTGGGAACTATTCTGACATCTGGTTGTTAAAAAAAAGCTAGCAAAGCTGTAAAAATGATATATAATTGATTTAATCATTGTGTCTATAAATATCAACTGAGCACTCTTCTGTGCCAGGCAGTATTTTAGAAAAGGGACACACGGCTGATATCCTCTACATGGAGCTTATGTACAGGTGTAAGGAGACAGAAAACAAAAAAGTAAACAAAATAATTACAGATTTTAAGGTGGGGGTCATGGAAGAAATGTACAAGGTGATATGACCTACTAGATAAGTGAGAAGGTGAAGGGGTGTCTTTAAATAGGGTAATTTGGGAAGGTTTGAGCAGAAACCTGAAAGACCAGAAGGTACAGAATTTGGTGACACTATATTATGAAAAACAGTAAAGAAACATGAACAATAGAGAGTTAAATTACCAACAGTTTTTGTTTGTTTGTTTTTTGCTCATCTTACACATATTTTTTGTTCTTACCAATAAATTTGATTTGGATCAAAGGTAGTTAAAATAGCCTGGGCAAAGATCAAACATTATCCAAGATTCATGTAGTTTCTTTCTCTCCTTTTAGTATAAAAGTAATACTCATTTTAAAAATATTTAGAAAACAAGAATTTTAAATAAAAAAAATTTACCCACAATCTAACAACTTAAATGTAAAGGTTTCTAAATGTTGGCCAATTCCTAAAACAGATTGTTTTTTAAGTTCAGTTTGTGGTTACCTAACCTTTGTGAAAAGAGGTTAAATAAAGTAGGTAGCCAACTCAGCTTAGAAAAAAAAAAAGAAGAAGAGGAAGCAGAAGCAGAGGTCGTGCTGATATTCTCAGTTCACACAGTAATAAGCATGTTTTGGTTTAAAAGTTACAATTGATCAGGGAAAAAAAAGCTGTAGTGGTCAGCACAATATGGCTAGAGAAATGTTTTGATTTCAAATATTGGCAAATCTGACTTCCCTAAGCAATTGCACCAACACCACCAACAAAAAATACAGCCCTTCCCCACTTTGGAAGTAATAGCTTTAAGGGAGAGGGACACTTGAGAAATTCACCTTGTTCTAATGAACAGAAGCTGGGGTGGGTAGTGATGGTGGTGGCAGTGGAATTGGTGGTGATGTGTCTGGCCCTGACAAGGGTCCACTATGATCAATCATTTGAATATTTGTCAAGGTTCTTGACCCATATTGTTAATTTGCTCCCCAAAAGCAATGTTTAAGAAGACCCTTCTCGTTAAGTCCAACAATATTAACTACCTCCTAAAAAATATTTACTGGCATTAATTTTAATAAAATATAAGGTCTAAGTCACAGCCACTTTTATTTATCTTTTGAGTTTTCCTAATTTGTCTCTTTCTGGGTGTGGGGAGTTCAAAATAAGATTCCTGGTAGAACTAAAACGTGCACAAAACGTCAGCCACAGGGAAAAAGAAACAACCAAAAGAGTGTATAGTTCTAAAACGTGCACAAGAGTACTGTATGAATTTATTTTCAGAAACATTATTTTCTTAGGGCCATTTCAGTGACCTTGGGTTAATACTGCTTTTGAAGCCTGCATGGTCCCTATTGGCTATTTTTGAGCAGAGATATTTCTAGAACTTGTTTAGGCACTAATCTACCTAAAATAACATGAACCCTGGGTTCACATTATGCATGCAAGTTACAAAGATCATTTGGATAAAGAGTTTGCCTCAGGCTATAACACAGAAACAGCATGGATTACACATTCTGATTTGCACTACAAATTATGTTTATTTCATTAAACTGTTTCTAAATGAAATACTTTATCCTTTGAAATATTTTGGAAATATTTCATTTTACTAAAATGTAGAATACATTAAAAATCACTTGATTCTGTGAGAGTTCAGCTGAATTGGTAAAAACAAATTCATTTTTTCCCATAGTTGTCAAGTCAGACAGCTCCTTTCTTTCTAATAGCATTTTATCTTTTTCACATTTGTCGTTTTCTTTGTTGAAAGTATAAGATAGATTGATCAGCTTTTCCTCATAATGCTTGTTTACCTCACTACAAATCTACCTATGTCTATTTTTATGCATCCTTCTTATTTAAAATTTAAATATTATATACAAGGTCAATGTACCACCTTCGACAATGATCCTAAATTCTATCCTCTTCCACATAGGCAACCATTGCCATCAGGCTAAGGTGGATGTTTCAGACTTTGTTCCATGCATTTGTGAAACCAGTAATTACAGAGAAAATGGATACTGTTGTATTAGGAGTTTTATAGAAATTATAATGTACCTCCCATGATAACAATTAAACCTGATTTTTACCTATCAGTGGCTCTTTCCTGTAAACTGCTGCATTAAATTCTATATCACAGATTATGAGTCCCTCTACACATAGACATTAGGTTCACTTCCAGCTCTTTGCTGTTAGAAATTGTCTTGGACATTTTTTTTTAAGAACACCTTCTTGATCCCAAAATCAAAAAGAAATTATACTATAATTCAGTGTAATACTTTTATAGTGTTATTTTTATGCTGAGATTATAACCATCTGAAATTTATTTTTATGAATATGAGATATGAACTATAAGTAAGTGCATGATTTTTCCAAGAATTTGTATTAAAAATGTACCTCTTGCCCACTTATTTAAAATGCCATTTTTATCATATATTAAATAATTGTATATGCTTTCATTTATTTTTAGACTCATCTCAGTGATCTAGTTATCAAGTCCTGTCCCACTACTACACTATTTTTATTACTATAATTCTATATGTATAATATGTTGGCTATTTAGTAGGTAAGGCCATTTCTACTTGATTTTCTTTTATAGATTTATCTTGGTTATTTTTACATATTTTCTCTTTATAAATTTTAGAACAGGCTTTAAATTCCATAACATTATTTTTTATTAGCATGGCACTCAATTCATAGATTATTTTGGAGAGAAGACATTTTTAAAATATTGAACCTTCTCATGAAAAAAGTTTTTTTTCCCTATTTAGTTTTTTTTTTTTATGCCCTCCAGTAAATTATTGTTAGGATTATTCCTGAGGATTTGATGTGATTGTTATTATTATAAATAGACCTCTTGTTCCATTTCATTTTCTAATTGGCTTACTGATGTGAATAAAACCTATAGGTTATATTATATGCTGATATATATAATTACACTATATTATCTGCTGTTTGGCCATATTGATTAAATTCCCTTGTTGGTGCTAAATTTCGGCCCATTGGAGTTTTCAGGTAAATAGGTGTGTTATCTGCAAATTGTAACAATTTCATAGCTTCCTTTCCAATGTTTCAGCTGTTTTCCTGGCTGGGACCTTGAGCTCAATGCTTCAGCAGGTACCTTCTTCTTGCCAATATGTGCTTGCTTCTAACATCTCATCATTAAGGATAGTGCTTGAGGCTGGACTTTTATAAAGTCAAGAAAATTATTTTATATATATATATTTTTATTTTCCAGAAGCCTTTTTTAAAATTGTTATAAGCATGTAAAATTCTTTTAGAGTGTTTTTTCATACTTGAGTGAGATGATTAAATAGTTTTTCCTCCTTTAGTATATTAATATAGTACATTCCACTGAATGATTTCTAATGTTAAGTTATTTTGGTATTCCCAAGATAAATCCCTACTTGGTCATGTAGTAACATTTTCACAGTAAATTGCTGAATTCAATGTGTTACCATTTTATTATTTTGTATCCTTAGTCAGCCTGCGAAAACAGACATTTCCTATTTCAAAATTTGTTGATATTTGTTCATAAAATGATCTTGGCCTGGAGCCCTTGGTCAGGCTGGTGGGAGGGCAAGTCATTATTCGTTACCATTTTAATGCCTGTTACTATTTTTTGTCTTTTTTAGATTTTCCAGGTCTTCTTTTGCCAATTTTAGCAATTTTTAAATCTATAGATAGAGTCTTATATAGCTTCATTTTCAATCTGTGCCTTATTTTTTCTTAATCATAATTTTCAAACATTGACCTGTTCCATATGACCTTTCAATGAATTAGTTTCTACTTTTTTTATCATGTCAAGTAATCAATTTTCAAAGGTTGACCTGTTTCATATGACCTTTCAATGAACTAGTTTCTATTTTTTTTAAATCATGTCAATCAATTATTTCAATTTGCTTTATTCATTATTATATTTATCTTAATTCCATTGTTGGATTTATTTCTGTTTTAGATTGTTGAATTGATTGCATAGTTGTTGTTGTTTTTTAATTTCAAATCTTTCTTATTTTCTAATAAGTGCATTTAAGATGACAAATTTTCCTCTGAATACAGCTTTGGCTACATATCACAGGTTTTCATAAGTAATGCTTTTATTTTGAGTCAATTCTAAACATACCTTTTTTTCTGTCTTTGCTAATATTATAACTTTCATTTTCTTCAGTTATTTAATGTGCTACAGATTAGTTACCCTTTTAACCCCTTGGATACTCAGGAAATAGAATATTTGTTCCCTGAAAATAGAAAACCTTGCAGACTTGAGCAATCACATGTCACTAGAGATTGAATAGTGCACAATATTTAATTCCTATGAACACAGATTCATACCCTGTTACCTGGAGCAAATATTATACATTTAATGGCCTCTATCCTTTGAAAAAGACTTAATACTTCTTTGAGAATAAGAAGAATAAGAGTCACTTGAGATTGGAATTGAATTCAAGGGGGTAATACTAAGCAAGATCACATTATTATTTTTATTTCAAGGCTTTAGTGAAAAGACTTTCTAATTATGCTCAAAGTCCAATACCATTTATTTCACTGACTGTTTTTTTCTTTTTTTTTTTTTGTCTTTTTAGGGTTAGTGGTTTCCTCCTGTAGCCTCAGTCGAATATGAAGCCCTAAATTGGTAAGGAAGACTATTGGGCTGATGGGAAATATTTCTCAGTTTCTGGGAAAGGAAAAATTGGTCAGATGGTGTGAAATTCAACCTTGGGACTCCTGTCTCTGGTAAGTTATGCCGTAACAAAAACATTTGTGCACACTCATGTCCTTTCTTATACCAACCACCTTAACACAGAATTTTGCTAATATAACTAATGCAAGGGTTTCACACAAAACCCAATTTTGCAGACATTTTCTTTTTTGATGTTTTGATTATTACCTTTTCGTTTACGGGGTTTTAGAGACCTAGAAACTATTTTTGCAGTGCACAGACTTTCTGTTTCCCTTACTTTTCATACACATTTTTGAAGGTGACAAGCCATGAATCTAATCTTGTCAGCACCATGACCTTTCACCACAGAGTTTTAAGAACTACCTGTTAGACCACTGCATAGTATCATTAGGAAATAAAATGCATGGGATATATGAAGTTATCAGGCCAACTAGTATTTGTTTCCTGTTGATATATATCTAACAAAACATTGCATAAAATACTTTCTGCCTGCTTTAAAAGATTTGGATTATTTATCCTTTCATTCTAAAATAAATAATATTTACACTTCAATTAAAATTTAACTAAATTTGGCAAGCCACAGGGAGTTCAAAAGTTTGTGAACGTCCAGAAACCTTCATATTTTATTTGAATTGGACATTCACTGTTTAACCTTAGCTATAAAGCTACGTTGGTCCAATTTCTTCCTACTTAGAACTCACTAATCCTTGCACATTATAAAAGAATTAATAAAGTAAATGTGACACAGAAGTGGTTGATGTGACATTGTTTCTAATGAAGAAAGAGAATATTTTGCAAAATAACTCACCATGCCTATAAAGAAGTTTTTGGGTCCTCAGTGGTATAGATAAATTGTGATTATGTTTACTGATTTTAACTAGACAGTTGCTCAACCCTCTACTTAATCCTTGACTATATGGATGTGTGCTAGTATGTGAGAATTAAGCACAAGTATCAGGTTTAATTTGTAACCTTTAATGGTCATTAAAAACAATATTCATTGTGAGAGTAAATTCTAGATGAGAATTAATAACCCTCAGCTGGCAAATTTAAAGCCCTGATAATGATATGCTAAGAGGTCTAAGGAAAGAGATCCATGAAATTTGTTATTAAAAATTGTATACTTATATCAACTTTTATTCTTTTATGAGAAAAACAGAAACCTCTCTCTTTGAGTCTTACTTAGTAATTATTATGGAATTTTGTTAAGTTAAAGAGGTTTTTTTCTTTAAAAATTTCTACTTACCGTATTTCTCCATGTATAAGATGCACCCTTTTTCAAAAAATTTGGAGTCTAAAAACTGGGTGCGTCTTATACAGTGGTTGTAGAATTTTATGATGAATAAAACTTGAGTTCAATCACTTTATATAATACATTGTTTTCAAATTTCGGGCCCCCAAATTAAGGTGCGTCTTATACATGGGAGCGTCTTATACAGGTATATAAAACATTTTGCTCACTTAAATTATAGTCAGGACAATAACTGGAGATCAAAATCCAAATACAGTTTCTGCCATCACTTGGTCCAATATCATCAGAGAAGATGATATTCCTGATCTTCAAGTGAATTTTCAGTATGAAAAACAAATTATCTTAGGCACAATCACATCCTCTTATCCTGGTAAAATTAATCTTGTTTTGAGGAGAAAGGGTGCTGTGGTAGCTCAGGAAACTTGTGAAAGTGGATTAAAATGTCTTAACTCCCTTAAGTTAAATACTTTCTCATATTTTTTTTTTGTTGTCACCTTACTAATAGAGGTAGTTTTATTCAAAGAAAACCTTTATAATTAAAATCTCAGCCTATTCTCTCCCCAGCTTGATAGTTTTATAATATTTAAAAAAAACAAAAACCACCATAGAAAATAAAATGTGAAAAAGCCCATATTTCTTTCCCTGGCTTAATGACATTGGGTTTAAATAGGGCAAGCAGTTCAAATATGTTGGTTAAAAAATATTTGGGTTTCTGCAGGAAGGTAGTGCTGTATCTGCTGAGAAGGTGGTACTCTTGATGGTATCATTTGTGCACGCAGGTGCCACAGGAAAGATGAATGCAGTCGGAACAGTCCCTTCTGTGCTCTTTATGCTCTTTATGCATGTAGATTGTCCTTTGATTGTTGTGGGTGTTATTCACAGAGCCTGTAGCAATGTCACCCAGTCCTGTAAATGCTCAATGGCCCAGCTTTTGCTCTGTTGCTGGCTGCCTGCTAGCAGCTATGCAGGCTACCATGGTTTCTCACCTTATCTGCATTTCTCTGACAAGCTCACCCCAACGAATATATCAAGGGGTGGCGTCACTTAATGACAAGCTATTATCTCACTTTGATGACCTTAAAATCATTTGGGTAATGTCTTCTTATTGGATTTTAGGTACTGTCTGTGGAAAGTTCTCTGAGTTATCGAATTCATCCAGACAAATTTATGTTATATTTCCCTTCCCCCACCATTTTATTTTTCTATTTTAGTTTAATATATCATCGATAATTTAATTGTGTTTCATTTATATGGTTCCATCTATAGTTTTGGAAATACCACCAATCATAAAATAACAGCTAATATTAATTTCATGTGCTGATGGCTTCAACTGCACCATTTCAGGACAGCTCTATGAGAAACGAATACTATTATTATGAACCCGGTTTTGCAAATAGGCATGGAGGGGTTAATTGCATTAGTCAAGCTCATACAGGTAGTATGCATCGAAACCAGGCTTTGAACCCAGTTGTCTAACACCAGGGCCTAGGCACTTTTTTTTCTCTCTCTCTTTCTATATATGGATAATAATGAGCTTACTATGTGCCAGCAACTCTTTTAATGCTCTGTATGTGTTAACTCATGTAATCTTCACAATAACCTTTAAAGTAAGCACAAATATTATGTGTTCTGGATAGATAAGAAAACTGAGGCTTAGAAATGTTAACTTGCTCATGTTAACACAATTGGTAGGTAGAAAAAGTGGGAGCTCAAGTATTTTACTTCCAGAACCTGTGTTCTTAGTCATCATGTTATGTTCTCTTTCATCTGAAAAAAATGCTCATAGCAAAAACTTGCCATTTCTAGTAATAAAAATCTATCTATGTGAAGATATACTTGCAGAAATAGATTGTAAGTTATTTCTGTTCAGGCGTATCTTTATTTTTCACCTCTTTTGCCAATTTTTAAAAAATTGGCTATTACCCAAAGGTAGCAAAATCTGTGAACATTTGTATGATACAAATTCCACGTTTCACATTCATCACGGTTAATAATGATCAATGTTTTTCTGGTTCTTACATTTACATTTGGCTTATTTATTCTAAACAGGAATCAAATAAAAAGAGGAAAGCTATTTGAGGATGAAGAATAGCATTAAGGTGGATGGCGACTTCAATTTGGGGAAGGATAAAGAAATCTGTTAGAATCATAAAGATGAATTAAAATACCCAAGATCTATCCACACCATGGTCTCATTCATAGTATGACAGGCTAATTGATACAAACATGACATTGATGGCAACAGAGTAGTATTCCAAACATATTCCTCATAATACTATAATTAATAATGACTCATAGTGCTAGGATCAATAATGAACTGGTCATTTGTTATTAAATGTTATAGCAAAAAGGAACATCATAGTTTCACCCAGTGTGACTATTTGATTAACGCTTGTTCTCTCATCTGTTCTCTAAATTCCACATTATCAGGTACCGGGCCTGTTTTAAATCACTAGCATATACCCAGTGTCAAGCACAGAAAAGGCTCTCATTAAATATTGAAGGAGTGAATGAATGAATGCAGATATAATAGTGACTGAAGTTTAAGTGCACATAATTCAGTCCCTTTTATACTAGACACGAAACCTATGGCACCGAGTTTAAGTTCATCTTGCCAGATAATGGGCCATTGCTGTGACTATAACTCTTAGCTTGGCAGAATGGCTATGACTAGGAAGACAACTGTGACCAGAGCCAGTAAGTCTGGGGATATTTGTCTCTATGTACTCCTTGATTCAAAATAAAATAATCACACCCTATCAGCAGCTTTGACCCAGTGGATCACTTCTTCGTCCTTGAGACAATTTCTTTACTTGGCTAAAGGACACCATACTCTCTTGTGTCTTCCTGTTGTATTAGCCACTTGTTTGTAGATTCCTTTGCTGGTTTCTCTTCTCAACTTCTTGAATTTTCATTTTGAAAGACTGTCTGTCTTAGAAGAGCAGACTCAAAATTTTGATAAAGTCCAGTTTCAATTATTTTCTTTTATGGAGTATTCTTTTGCTGTCTGATCTAAGAAATCTGTGCTTCACACAGATCACACATATTTTCTCCAATGTTGTCTTCAAGACATTTTATAGTTCTCAATTTAGCATTTAGATCTTTTGATATATTTTGAGTTAAGTTTTACATACAGGGTGAGATATGAATTGAAGTTCTTTTTTTTGCGTATGAATATCCATTTATTTCAGAATGATTTGTTGAAAAGATTACCCACTTTCCACTTCATTACCTTTGAATCAAAAATTAGTTATCTAAGAGAATAAAAAGACAAGCTATCAACTGAGAAAAAATATTTGAAATCAAATATTTGACAAGGAACTTGCACTAGAATAAAAAAAGGAACTCTCAAAATACCACAGTAAGGAAACAACCCAATTAAAACGGTGAAAAAAACTACCAGACACTTCAACAAAGAGGATATTCAGAGGGCAAAAAAAACCATGAAAAGATTTTCAAGATCATTAGCCATCGGGAAATGCAAATTAAAACCATGATGAGTTACCACTCTGATAAATCTGGTACCCATCTGACACCATGCATAGTTATTAAAATATTATTGACTATATTCCTTATGCTGTACCCTACATCCCCAAGGCTGTTTTGTAACTACCAATTTGTACTTCTTAATTCCTTCCCCTTTTTCACCCCCCCGCCCCCCAAGCCCCATCCCATCTGGCAACCATCAAAATGTTCTCTGTACCTATGAGTTTGTTTCTGTTTTGTTTGTTCCTTTATTTGTTCTTTAGATTCCACCTACAAGTAAAATTATATGGCATTTGTATTTCTCTTTCTGATCTACTCCACTCAGCACAATACCCTGTAGGTC